GGGAGGGAGGGAGGGAAGAGACTGTGCCTGGCCAAGAGGATAAAGTCCATACAGCCTCAACTTTGGAGCAGGAACAGCACAAGCCTGCCTTTGCATTATTTGTTTGTTTATTTATTGATTGGGTCTAGGATGTGTGTGTTGAGATAATTTCTATGTGGTCCTGTCCTCCATTTCTCTGGAGTGCCCCCCGCCCCCAATTTGGCGGTGAGGAGGACCTCTGGTCACCCTGCCAAGGAGGAACCCCAGAGGCAGGGTGACCAAAGATCCTCCTTTTCCAGGACACGGCCTCCATTTCTGCCCCCCTGCCCAGGAGGAACCCCCAAAAGTCCTCCATTTTGAGCAGGACAAGGAAGCATGTGTAATAGTGTCTTTTCAGCTTTTATTTTCCCTCCAGGAGGAGCTCCACAATATCCTTCATTTTGAGCAGGACCAGGAAGCAGGCATTTACATGTGTAATAGTGTCTTTTCAGCTTTTATTTTCCCTCCAGGAAGAACTCCATAAAGTCCTCCGGTTTGAGCCTGACTGGGAAGCGTGCGTTTCTACTTTTTTGTGAATGGGTTTAGCTTTTCTTTGGTGGCCAAAGAGCCTCCTTTTCCAGGACATGTCCTCCATTTTACCAGGAGGCACCCCCAAAGGGCTTTATAGCCTGCTCCAGAGGGCTAAGAAGCATGCATTTCCATTTCTGTCTGAGTGAGCTTTTCTTTGGCCCTGTCCTCCCTTTTTTCTGGAAGGCCCTCCATTTGGCAGCGGGAAGGCCCTCTGGTCACCCTGGGGAGTCTCCCAGATCCTCAGGTACTTGGGACAGAGCATGGAAGGGCTCCCACCTTCAGTAGGGATGGGAAGGAGGCAAGATTTGGCAATGGGCTGGGTATGGAGGAAAAGTTTCTTTCCTAACTCCTTGGACCGAAGGTAGTGATTTTTACATCTACCACTCGCCTTCTTTACAAGAAGCCCTTGGGTGCCTTTAATGCCTCCTGAGCCAAAGGAAACGTCCAGCCCAGGGGAAGCTTCTCTCTATCCTCCCAAGCTACAGGATTTAGGGCTGGTTGGCTTCTTGACTTCTTTGGCTGGTTTTGTTTTTGGTTGTGGGGCTAAGACTCTTAGGTCTCCCAGCCAGAGTAAGGTGTGTATTCAAGACTTTGTGGTTGTTGCTGTGTGCCTTCAAGTCTTTTCCCACTTAGGGCCACCCTAAGGTGAACCTGTCATAAGTTTTTTCATGCATGTTTCTTCACAGGGGGGTTGCCATGGCCATCTTAGGAGGCTGTGACTTGCCCAAGGTCACCCAGTGAGTTTCATGACTGAGCAGGGAACTGAACCCCGGTTTCCAGAGTCTCAGTCCAACACGTTAACCACTATGCCACACTGGCATTATTAACTTCTTCATGAAGGGAGCTAGACAGATTAGCTACGCACTTGCTAAAATTTACTAACCAGCCTGTCTCTCTGGTAGTGAAAATGGAAAGTGAAGGATTAAAAGTGTGTCTCTGGTGAACAGAGTTGGGAATGTGGATTCTACTTAACACCTTAATGGCAGTTAAGTACAGAACCAGTACAGTCCCAGTAACCTTTAAACCAATTCTCCACAGTGCTGAGCCTAGTTTGGTAGTTTCAGCACCTTGGTCAGCTCCTTTCACAATTTTCCAGTACTTTGACCAGCCATCACTGAAGGTGGGCGGCAGTCATTTTGAATTCATTGTCATATAACGTAAATATGTGATCCTGTGTGTGGAGAAGGGACATGTATGATGTACACCTGATAGTGTGAAGATTAGTGGGAGATGTTATGGTATCAGAATCCAAATACCTGAGTGCTGTCAGGCAGAAGATGACACAGATTTGCTGGCTGTTTTCCCAGAGAGCAGGACTAGAACTAGTGGGTGGAAACTACAAAGGGGTAGATTTCAGGGAAACTTTACAGAGAAACTTCCATGTGGTTTAAGCTCTGGCTCAACAATTGAACAGACTGCTTTGGAAGGTGTTAGGCTCCAGTTCGTTGGAGGTATTTAGGCAGAGGCGGAATGGCCATCTGTCAGAGATGCTGGAGCTGTACGATTCTTGCACCGTGCAGGAAGCTGGACATGAAGGTGTCCAAGATATTCTCTATTTCCAAGATGCTATTATTTTAACACCTCCATCCAGAAGTCACCTGTTTGGTACCAAGCTGGGGAGAGTGGCTGTCATGTATGAGAAAGCCCCTCTACTTTGCATTAGAGGCACACAGAGGCAACCCAGATTTCACTTTAGAGCTGAACACAGTGTCTTTTTGGCTACAAAGCATAATGCTTTTGGGCTACATCCAACACAGATGAAGTGGCCCAGAGTGAAGGGGGTGATGTGTGGGCAGAGAAGCCAGTAGAGTAGGGCAAGGAGCTGGGTTGGGTACAGAAGACTATCTGTCTTCTAGCCAAAGACCACAATTTTCTCAGCTTTTTGTTATAACCATGATAATTAGAAAATTGCTTTTGAAAAACCTGATGATTGGGAAATATTCCTAGGTAACTGCCCTAGACCACTAGATTGTTGTTTGTTTGGTAGACACGATCAAGTGCTGCTGAGTGTCTAGTTCACTAGTTCTGATCTATCAAGTGTAGTATAACTGAGCCAGTCAGAAAACACTGTACCTTTAATGACTGCTTATATTTTAAAAGAATGGCTTGTCTTTTGGCTGAGGCTGCATCCTGTTGTAATATGTGGCTGCTTGCTTCAGTGCTAAAGCCTGTGGGATAGACAGGGGACTGCTAGTTTACTCAAGTAGTAGTAATAATAATAATAATAATAAAATTTATTTTGCAAGTGTCTTCTCCTGAACAGATAAAGCACTTAGCCAAAGCAGAGTCACTGGTTCACTGGCGCTGGGCACTCCAGTATATGCAGATTTAAATAATTGTTTGGATAACAGCAGATGACTGACTTAGCTTAAGTGACTGTGAGAATGGTGTGTGAGAATGTGAATACATATATGTTGGAGCTGTGTATGAACAAGCAGGACAACAGATGCAAGAAAGGTGTGAAAACTTTGTTATCTACAGCAATGCATTCATTACTTTAAATTAATTTTATTACACTTAATTAATTTTATTGTAAAGTTGTTAAAGTGTTTTTATTTGTGAGCCACCTTGGGTCCCTCTTCCAGGGTCCCCTCTGGAAGAAAGGTGGCATAAAATAAACAAATAAATATGACAAAGCTGATGCTTATATGTATACAAGCACAAGCAAGCATATATGTCTCTGTGCAAAGGTGTCAACATATCTATTAGCATGAATTAATGTGCATGAAGAATGGATGTGTATGCTGTACAGAGATTTGATATGTTGCCCATGTGTACAAAAAGACCATAAAGGTATGTATATAGTTGTGTGTGTGTGTGTGTGTGTATGTGTGTTATGACCTGAAACCTAAGTTGCAAATGTGTACATTTCTGTGTATGATGAGCTCGTGATCAAAGGGGTATGTGTGTGTGTGTGCACATGCTGGAGAGAGTGCACATAGGCAAGAACACAGGGATGTGTGTGTACATGCATGTTCTGACAGCAGTAATCTACAGGGAAGTGACTACCCATACATTCACATTTGCAGTGGGATGCTAATAGTGCAAAAAGAGTGTTTCACAGCTGGCCCACAGCAATTCCCAACAGCCATGAAACTTACTTAAAGGACTTGGTGGAAACTCTGAAATATTATGTCTGATTCCTAAGTAAATGCCATTGGTAGCTTTCCTTGGTGTAGCTGTACACGAGTTGAAATTTGTCTGTGCATGTGCATGAACATTTCAATGAGGAAGGGGGAATATATCGATGAGGACATTCTTACACAGGAGTGTGGGATGCTTAATATTATATTAGTTATAGTGTCAGTTTGCATCCTCAAGCTCTATATAAGCATATACTGAAGGAGAGGTGGGTGGAAAAGCCTTAAGTTATTATGATTGTAAGTCTGAGAAGGTGGTTAATAAGTATTGGAAGAAAAAGTAATCCACAGTAGGTGGTTCTTTTGTATCTTCAGCAACTGATGTAATATTTTGGAGAAACTTGAGAAGATTCCAATGGGAGTTCCATAACTGCATGCTGAAATATGTAAGGACTGCAGCACTCTACACAGGTGGCTTCCTTAAACAGATCTGAACAAGACTGTTGCCAGAATGAACAGCTCCAGCATATAACCTTCATGCTCATTGCTGAACCTATGAATAGTAAACTAGCTAGAACCGTAATTATAAAAACAAGCAGCACACATACTTTTAAACATTTTTGAACATCCTGAGCTCCTCAAGTACCTTTGATATTATTCTAGAACAGCTTACAACTGTACCTTGATCCATTCTAATTTCTCTAAGGAGGTTGCACAAGAAGAACTGTATGCAGTTTGTCCAATACTGTTGTTGTTTTCTGCAAAGTATATGCAAGCATACCTCAGTTAATAAAGCCTTTGACAAAGAAGCTCATTTTTACAAAGTCTTTTAAGGCCTTCCCAGCCTTATTCCCTCCCACTCTCTGTCTAGCTGGAATGTTTTAGCAGCATCAGCATTAGAAGCATGGTGAAGGAAGGCTGGAGAAAGTGCCAGGTTGCAGCAGCATATCTCCAGTAAACAGTGCAATGAAGCTTAAGGTGGGAAAACTGGGATTCTGTTCGAGCTAATTCTACTGTAACTGTGTGTAAACCTGCTTACAGCAGGCAAGGAAAAAAAGCAGCTCTCTCCAGAATCCGTTACTAAGCATGCATAAACTGTAAAAGGGGAGAACAGATAAGCCTGCCTATCAGCTTCCCACAGAATGTTTTTAAAAGAACATAGGTCAACAAGTTTGGCCACCAAAATGAAAATCGTAAGAAAAATATAAAGGTTGGTGAAAGAAAGAAAACTGTCCCTGGGTGCATTTTGGAAGAAGGTTCAAGTGGTCTTTTGAAGGATGAATTATTACTATTTTTTATTTATGCAAGACTCACTTGATCTGGTTGTTTCATTTAATATAGGCTTATTGCTAGTTTTAGATACAACATCTGCTGAAACATGTTGACTTACTCTTTTTTGTGGTATAGGTACCCATCCATCCCCATTCTTTCTCTGTTACATCTATGTCTGGTATCAACATTTTTTTTTAAAGCAGTAATGCTGAGAAACACATCTCTTCATATATAGAGGTTTACCTATATATGTAAAACCTTTTCAGTCTTTTAAGAGAAGTTATTCTCAGGAACGTTTTATGTCTCCTATTAGTTATTTTTTTAAAAGAAACATACACTTATATTTATTTTTTCTCAAGTACTCTCAGTGGGGGTGTGATGAGGGTTCAGGAGAGAGTGCAGATGCATCTGGCCCATGGGAAGACTGGTTTCTAACCTGGTTTAAAGTTTTTAAAAAGCACTTTAAATTAGCTCAGGGAACAAATTGCTGTTCAGAGTGATTGCTTCTAAATGGCAATTCTAGCACCCTGTGAAGTAGTTGGATGGTGCCGTTTTCTGTTGGAGCAGCATTTTCACCCACTGCAGCGTCCGAAATAACTTCCGAGGCAGAATGAACTGCAGCAATCCAAACATGTTGTAACTTTGAGCTGTGGTTGCTACCATACTGCAGAAATAAAGCAGTCTGACACCACTTTAACTTCTATGGCTCAGTGCTATGAAATTCTGGGGTTTATAGTTTGTTGTGGCACCAGAGGTTTCTGACAGAGAAGGCTAAATATCTCACAAAACGACAAATATCAGAATTCCCTAGCATAAAGTCAAGGGCATTAAAGTGGTGTCAAACTGCTTTATTTCTTGTCTCAAAAAAGGGCAGTCTTTTATTCTCTTCTTCTATTTCTAAGGCTTTAGGTCAATGTATCATTTTTCCATTGGTACATTGGGGTGTTCAGGGTTTTTCTGATTATCACTTGTTTCCAGTTAGAATGCATTCAGTGTGTTTCTATGTGTGTGTTTGAGGGGGGGAGACTGTCCATGCTAATTTGTTGTTGTTATTGTTATTGTTGTATGCCTTCAAGTTGTTTCTGACTTATGGAGACCCTACGGTGAAACTCTCATGGGGTTTTCTTGGCAAGTTTCTTCAGAGGGAGTTTGCCATTACCATCCTCTGAGGCTGAGAGTATGTGACTTATCCAAAATCATCCAGTGGGTTTCTGTGGCTGAGCCAGGATTTGAACCCTGGTCTTCAGAGTCATAGTAAATCCCAAATCACTCACTCCCTTTGCTACGATAGGCAGTTGTGGTTGCCTCTCAGCCACCAGTCGCAGTCATCCTCTCCATGAGGGATAAAGCCATGTGCATCCACAGCTAATAAGCTTCTAATATTTGTGCCTGCAAGTTAGTCCTGGTGTAGTAAGCCCTGGATTTGAAATTTAATAAGGAATATAATCTACTAAAACTATCAGGGAA